CAGCTACGTTTGATCGGTAAACGTTTCGTGCCGTTCAGTCACACTGCACCCAGCCACGTAAAGCACACAAAGCCATGCATGACATTTGCATGTCAGGTCCACGGTCGAATTGCAGCAAGTGTGGCAAACTGTGGGGCTCCTATGTTCGCTGAAGTTTTGCTTATGTATACGTAATATGCAAAGGGTTCGGAGATGCACGTAGCGTATTGAAACAACCATGAAGACATTGATATGTGACTTAAGATCCGATGAATGCAGCGAATGTACGTACAATAAGGACAAGAAACGTTGCGTGACCCATGAGCCCAAGTTAACAGATGAGCAGGCAGTAAGCGAGACGATGTGGATGCCGAAGTGGCCCACTGTTCTATCATCATCATCATCTGTCATATCATCCGGGCCACGGATGGAAGCACGGTGAAGCAAGTCGGTCAAAAGTCGTGTGGTTTTACCTCGCCGTCTTTCATTGGTGTTCGTCCTGCATGGTAACACCTATGTGCATCTTTGCGATGCTCGCGAAAGCGTCGTGCTGCTCCACACTTCTATGTGGGACGTCTGCGTTACACAATGTGCGTCAAATCTTTTACCAGGTTATGTGAAGTAATGCACCTTATTCATTCACTGATCTGCCTACTGCGTAACAAGCATCTAACCTGCTGTTTTGTCCATGATAATGATGAAATCTCAGACAATTCGTTGGAATATCTACCGGGTAGTCACGTACGCACGCACGCACGCACACACTGACGCCGTCGCGGGTGCTCCCGTCGACCCCAGGCGTCTGTCCGCGAGCACGCCAGCGGACGCGCTCGGCCAGCTGACCGGCACAGCGCCTGAGGCCACGTGACCCGGGTCTTATGCGCACTGTGCTACTAATCAGCTCCTGAGTGGCCAAAATCGAATAACTTTTAAACCATTGTATATATCATTTCCAAACCAGCTCATTCGAAAGATTTCAGCATTCTGCAACTAACCTTATTTCCTGAGGGCTGTCAACGTGCGTCACCCTGCCTCCCAGTGCTTATCCAAAGAACCGAAAAAAACACATTCTAGACATTCAGACACCGAATAGCAATGCAGTGCCTTAGTGCGCTGAAAAACGCACCGTGAACGGTCGCTGACAAGGTGGCGATGGGACTCACGCACTGAGTGTGGGCGTGTTGTATTGCACCACACGTGCAGGCCGACGCGCGATGCTAATGACGGTGCCTACTGCACTTTCTGCATCCTTACTGCTGGAATATTTAGTCTGCAAGGTGAGTATAAAGGTACAGGCAGGTTTGCCCGCTGAATGCGGCACAGGAATGTCAACCTTCTTTGCAGCTTGTCGTGCTTTGTCACTCACACCTATTAAACTGTGCATGACAGCGTGCAAAACAAAACCGTTTTCTTTTGAAAGCATGGTGAACACACGTTAAGTTTGGATGAACCTAAGTACATCCTGCACGTTGTTGGTGAGCGACTAAATGCGTTGTCCGTCGGTAACGCCCGCAAACTGTGAACATAGAGTCTGCTTGCTGCGAAGTCGCGGCAGCCCTTAATCAGCGCATAATCCAGTGTCTGTCTAAGCATCCTGATCTCTAAAGGTCAGCCTTCAAGGTAAAATGTAAGGTCAAATAACAAGGAGTTCCATTTGACCGAAAAACTTTCTGACGAAATTGCAGTTTTTCAAACATTGGAGTCTTCTTCGTCGCAAAATTTAGCGTTACGGGCGCGTTCAATGCCAGAGAGCTCAGATTCAGTTTTCAGCTGCTGGTTGATTTCAGGTTTGTATGCAGCAAATCTGTCAGTGACCTGTGCCTTGGAATAGTTAGGACATTTCGATTGGCGTTGTCTGTTGTGCTGATGCACAACCATCCCAAGTGTACTGGTATATGTTTGGTGAAGAGGAGCTCGCTGGCATTCGACCCTTAACAAGCGCTCGGGTGAGAGGGGGTCAAATTGACCCCCTAGAAGGTATTTCCAGAATGGTTTCCGAACAACGCGGCGTAGCCGCGCCAAATTTTGCGTAGCTGTTGACGATTGAAGAGCGGATCGTTTGGCATCAAAACGTTAGATGTACCTTGTAACATCGCTGACCTATGACAGCCCAGAATCAGACCATCAGAAACAATCAGAAACAAGGTCACCGAACTTGATGAAAATGAGACCTTTTGCTTAGAAACAGTTATCGAAGTTCTGGGGAACTTTGGAGACCAGCCTGGAACACTGCATCGTTTTGATATTTTTTTACCCAAAGGTCATAACCTAGGGACCTGAAATTTTGCCCTAGATGAGTCCACTACAGGTTAACACACCCTGTAAATTTGATGTCTCTAACTTTCTTACTTCCCAAGATCTCAAGGGGGAGTCAAGTTGACCCCCCCCCCCCCACCCCCACCCGACCGAATGGTATCTAGCCGGCCACTCGGGCGCGTGTTAATGTTGCCTAGGTAACTGACCTTGAGAAATCAAAACTTCTTCACCTACACTGGTTTATCTTTTGAGGAAGTTTCTGATGCGTAAAAATCCAGAATCGGCTGGTAACTTTTTTGGGCGAAGTTGAGTTTTTCTTCGCTTGACCCAAAATTTAAGCCTTGAGACCACGTGGCATCAACAGCCTTCGCTATCATATGATCTAGCCCAGGGAAACATGCTGAACCATGCTAGTCTGACAATACCTTAATTTTTGCACGTCAGGTGAAATAAACGAACAGCAATGCATTAGCTACTTAGAAATGAGCACATTTCGACGACTCATTGCGCAGAAAGTACGCAGCGGCATTGCAGCGCATCATGGGAGGTTTTTTCGTGCAGCTAAAGTCATTTGTGGAGGAATGCTGCTAGCATTACTTCTTTGCCTTTGCGACAGAGGATGACAGGGGATGATGACAGGGCAGGCTCCCGCTACGTGACATGGCCACCTCGCTGGGCTGACCCAACCTCGCCACCTCGCTGTGCTGACCCAGCCTCCCCGGCAGGCTCTGGTCACGTGACGCGGTCAGCGACCTCGCCGGGGGTGACCCAGTCCCAGTGGTCTGACCGGTCACGTGCGCCTGCGCCATTCGCGCGCCCACAGCCTGACCTTGATCCCGGCCGGGCAATGTAAAGCGCTGCCCCACCAGGGTACATGTCATGACCTGTGGGCGATCGCGGTCAAGAAACCACTGCACCTCAGTGGCCCGCGCCTGGGGTCAGCCAGCTGCGTCGGCCCATGACAGATGTAACCAAGGCCCTGTTTCGAGGAGTCTGAAGTCTTCATCCTGCCGTCGAAGTGATGTTCCTCAAGGCGTTTCCGCTGCGGAGCCGTCGGATGACCCTCGCTTCGAAACAAGCCAAGCCAAGTGGCTGACGTTCTTCTGCGACTTCAGCAGTTACCGGTAAGCCGC